AGAGTGAGTGAGTGAGAGAGAGAGAGAGAGAGAGAGAGAGAGAGAGAGAGAGAGAGAGAGAGAGAGAGAGAGAGAGAGAGAGAGAGAGAGAGAGAGAGAATTTACGAGTTCGAGCTTCAAACGTGCCCCTGTTTATTTTGTTTCTCGTTCTTTTGCAATTTAACAACTTTTTTGTCCTTTTCGGTTTGTTGTAATTCTTCTTTGTTTTTGTTTTGTTTTTGTTTTGTTGCTTTTTTGTTTGGGGTAGTTTTAAAAAATCAGATCTTTGTTTTGTGGCTCCATGGTTGTTTATTTTGTTTTTGTAAAGGTTTTCATTTTTGTGTGTTGTTGGTTTTGCAGCCCGGGAGGTTCTTTTTCCCAAAGCTGCTCTTACGAGCGCGTATTTTTTTACACCCATAAGAATTTGTCTAAATGTCTAATGTCTGTTCAAATTACTGATATTCGTTATCTGTGTGTTCGTTTCTTTATCTGCGGGATTCATTGTCCTAAAAACAACCTGACCAAGCGAGAGATACACACAAATCTTGTAGCCTTTGCTGCCTCGATCTATATTGCGAGAGAAAAACAAAACAAAACTGTAACAACCTTCTCGGGGTTATCAAAGTAGAATAGCAATGTGTATGAGTTTGAGATTTGTAGGTTTAGATTTATGTGCCAAAATCAAATATTCGTTCGTGATTCAGTGTGTCAGTCTCCCACTACCTTTCTGTCTGCCTGTCTGACTCGGTTTCTGTCTCCCCCCCCCTTCTCTCTCTCTCTCTCTCTTTATCTCTCTGTCTCTCTTATTCTCTTTCTCTCTCTCTCTCTCTCTCTCTGTGTATCTCTCTGTCTCTCTTATTCTCTTTTTCTCTCTCTCTCGCTCTCTCTCTCTCTCTCCCTCTCTCTCCCTCGCCCTCCCTCGCCCTCCCACCCACTCTCTCTCCCTCTTCCCCCCTCTCTCTCCACTATATAATCATATTTAACCATTTCATAGCTCATTCACTCACAAACATTCCTCCATTCCTCCGTTTCTCCCCCCCCCCTTCCACCCCTATCACGTCTCCTTTTCACCCAGAGTCTTACAAAAACCCCGTCTTTCAATTATCTTTCTGGCTGGCTCCAAGGTGCTCGTATTAGCAGCCTCTTACTTAAGCTTCTCCGATTTTCTTTCCATTGTAACATCTCAGCCTCAGCGGTTAGCGCTGTCTTACTGGGTAAATCACCCTTATATCACCCGCAAAACTGCTGTTTCGGCATCTCTTGAAGTGAAGGTGAACAAGAGGGTGCATGCGCTGCTTTCTTCAATATTTTATGTATTTTAAGACTCGTCGTAGAGGAATGCAGGTGGTCCCAGTTTTTAAAAAACAATTTTTAAACGTTTGTAACAATGTAAATGTTGTTGTAGCCTACATTGTAAGTTCGATCAGTCGAGTAGAGAAGGTAAGTTAAATGCCTAAGTCTTGAGTTCTGTAACAGGTGAACAGCTCCGTGACAAAATGTGATGTACGCCAAATCTGAAAATGTGAACGGTTATTT